AATGTCAGTCAATAAATCGAGACAATGTTTCCTTTGACATATGGAAATTCCTTGTGATGAATGAGCAACCTCTAGATCTAGGAAATACTTAAGTATACCAAGGTTTTTGATTATGAAAGCATGAGAATGCCTTTGATGTGTTGAAACCCAGTTATAGAATCTCCTGCTAAGATCACATCATCAACATAGACAAGTATAACTGTAAATGAAGAAGTTATTTTCTTAACAAACAAGGAATGATTTGCAGTGGCTTGTGTGTAACCATGATGAGTGAGTAAAGAAGTCAATTTCTCATACCACTGTTGGCTAGCCTACTTCAAGCCATAGAAAGACTTTACCAGTGTGCAGACTTGATTAGGTTTTGAAGTGTGGACACCGGGAGGAACAACCATGTACACATCTTCATGCAAATCTCCATGTAAGAAGGTATTGTTTGCATCAAGTTGATGCAAGTGCCAATTATGAATAACAGCTAAGGCTAGAACAAGTCTAATGGTGGTGAGTTTAGCAACTGGTGAAAATGTGTCGGAATAATTTAATCCCTCTATCTGATTGTAGCCTTTGGCAACAAGCCTGGCCTTGAATCTCTCTATGTTACCATCAGATTTATGTTTGATTTTATATACCCATTTGCAGCCTATTGGCTTCACCTTGGGTAGAAGGTCTACGAATTTCCAAGTACCAGTATTCTCAAGAGCATCAAGCTCAATTTCCATAGCTTGATTCCAACATTCAAACTTACATGCCTCAGAGTAGGATTTATGTTCAGTTTGGGTAGTAATTGAAAGAGTAAAATGATATTAGGATGAAGATAAATTAGAGTAAGGGATAAATTTTAAGATAGAATGAGGAGTGCCTGATGATGACTGGTTTGGTGAATCATTGAATGAGGTACAAACGTAGTCTTTGAGATGAGATGGTTGGCGCTTTGTCCTTGAAGATGCCTGTGTGGGAAGAATAGGTGTTTCAGGTGGGTTGTTGGGAATAGGAGTGGTGTGGTAGGGAGGTAACTCATCAAAATCAGACATTTGAGTAGGGACGTTGGTGGTGATCATGTCATCATTAGTATGACAATTAGAAGGTTGGGGGTCTGGTGTGGGAGATGATTCACTGAAGTACTCCCAAGTGTGTTTTATGGAGTCATATATGGTTTTTTAGTGTAGGATATGTTCATGATGAGTGATATTTCTGGAGATAAACACTTCATGAGTGTTATAGTCTAATAGAAGTGAACCTTTATAGCCAACAACATAGCCTAGAAAGATGGTTTTTCTGAATCTAACATCTAATTTGGTTCTATGGTTAGAAAGGGTGGATGCATAGCAGAGGGAACCAAAGACTTTAATTTGTTGGATGTCAGATAAAGTTCCATATAGCATTTGGTATGGTGATTGTTGGTGGAGCAAATTATTGGTAACTCTATTAATGATACATGCAACATATGAAACAACATATAACCAAAATGTCTTTGGCAAGTTAGATTGATATAGTAAAGCTCTCCCTACATTTAGAAGGTGTTGATGTTTTTTCTCTACCCTGCCATTTTGTTGAGGAGATTCAACACATGACCTGTGATGTACAATGACTTTAGAAGCATAAAACTGAGAAAGAGAGAATCCAGGTCCATTATCTGATTTAATGAATTTAGGACAGGTTTGAAACTAATTTTCAATTAGGATAATGAATTTTTGTACATGGTTAGATGCTTCAGCTTTTGATTTTAGTAATATGACCCAAACAAATCTACTATAGTCATCAAGGACTGTAAGGAAGTATCTATGACCATTGATGAAACTATTGGAAATAGGACCCCATATGTCAAAGTGTATCAATTCAAACCTACTAGTAGCTTTAGAATTACTTAAGGTGTAAGGAAGTTTCTTATGTCAAGCAAGATGACATATATCACAAACAACTTTATTATCATTGACAATTTAAGGGTATAAATGAGGCATTTTTGATATTCTATCATGAGACAAGTGACCTAAACTAAAGTTCCATAAGGCCTTAGCATGTATCACTTTACAATTATTGATACAAACACTAGGTGAAATTGTTTTGTGTAAGGAAAGGTTGAGGATTTTGGAAGTAGGTAGAAAAGTGTTAGCAGCATGCTAGCCATCACCAATCTTCAATTTGTATAGCCCTTCAATTTTACTAGCCAAACCAATCATCGTCTGGGATTTCATATCCTGTATAATACATTTTTTAGCAGAAAAATGAAATACACAATGAATAGAGGCACATAAACGTGATGCAAACATTAAATTCAAAGAGAAATCATGAGTGTATAGAATATTGTCAATGTACAATTATGGTGAAAGTTTGACTGTACCAACTTGGTTGGCTACGACTATAGCACCATTAGGTAAAAACACATTAACTGGTGCCAATGTATGGATGAACTAACATGATCATTGGCACCTGAGTCAATGATCCAATATTTTGACTTATTTTGAGTATAACAAGAAGCTATGAGGAATTGTGAATTACCTGAATATTCAACTGAGAATATCATTCTTGAGTAATATTGGCATTTTGGTTGTTGGATACTCTTTCTTCACCAGTGTGAGCAATGACTTGATTGTCTCCATTAGAAGTAGTGGTTGAGTTAGCAACAACCTGTTTCTTACCAAAGTTGGGAGGAAACCCATGTTTCCTATAACATACCTCCATTGTATGACCTGGCCTATTGCAATGTGTGCACAACCTGCTATCTCTTTTAGAGCTTTGAGATCCACCATTGTAGCTAGAAGCTTTACCTTAATCAGAATATTTTCTTGAACCATAAGCATTGATTAAAGTATTTACTTCCTCAAGAGCCAAAGAAGATCCAGGCTTAGGAAGGAGAGAAACATTTTGACTCTCTTCTTGAATCACCATAGAATAGATTCTCTTAATTGATGGTAGAGGATCCATCAAAAGAACTTGAGTCTTTATGACATATATTTTTTCATTCAAACTTGTAAGAAACTGAATAATCTGATCTTCACTGTGAAATTCTTGTGCAGATCGCATGGCTTGGCATCTGCATTGTTGGATACATGTACAAATTGGGATTGACCGGTGAGAGTTCAACTCCTCCTACAAACCACGCATCTTTGTGAAGTAGTCGAGAACAAATTTCAAACCTTGTTTGAGATTATTTATCGCAAGACGAAGATTAGACACATGAGTTCGACCAGTTTTGGCAAAATGCACTTTGAGATCATTCTACACGTCGAGAGTGTTTTCCAAGAACACTATCGTTTGAGAAATTGGAGGCGTAAATGAATTCAAGATCCACGAGTGTACTAAACAATTACAGCGTTTCCATGCACTACGATTAAGATCATCCATGTCAAGTGTAGTGATGGAACCATCAATGAATACATACTTGTTCTTGGCACCAAAAGCACGTTGCATTGATCTTGACCAAGATATATAGTTAAAACCATTGAGTTGAGGTGTGATGATCACTGAATTTGGACCTTCACTGGGGTGAACGTAGAAAACAGGGTTGACCTGAGAAGTAGGAGTCAAACGTGGTGGCATGGTGAAACGTGGATCGAAAGGAAGAAGAAAGCTTGAGTGGAAACAAATTAAAGATGGAAGAGAAAGGTATGGATCTTAAGCGATGATACTATATTATGAAGTGAGAGTTGTTGAAAACTCATGAGATGAAACAAGAGAGAAGAAGAAGATAGAGAGAAAATGTAGTAAGGAAGATGAGATAATCTTTGTATTATTTCTCATAAGAATTACAGAAAGTATGCTAGTGTCATATATATATATATATATATATATATATATATATATATATATATATATATATATATATATATATATATATATATATATATATATATATATATATATATATATATATATATATATATATATATATATATATATATATATATATATATATATATATATAAAAGTTAACTAACCAACTAACAATACTTATAACAAATCTTAACTGCCTAACTAACTTTTCTGAAGTAGTTAAGAGCATCATTGTGTTGTCAAAGAGAGAAGATAGAGTTATAAATCTTGTCTTGTCATATAAATAGGAAAAACCAAAAGCATTCACATTCATTACATTCATTTAAGTTCTTTAAATAGACTCCACTTAATTTTTATATTATTATACACTTCTTAATTATTTAAATGACACGTCTATTTTTTCTAAATATACATACAACTAATCAAATATATTTTGAAATACGACTCATTAGATACCACCAGTGGCGGAGCCAAAAAAATTATGAAGTCTGGGCAAGTTTTCATTGGCTTCATAATTTTCTACCAAGACAGTACAATGCTAATCCCAAAGGAATTATTTCCTTGAATTGAAATTACCTCTTCAATTTGTAAGATTTCGGATTTTATAATATATACATGTTTAAATTTCGGATTCTATAATATATACATGTTACAGTATTTCAGGTGTGCTCACAAAATGAACAAACCTATAAAAGCTGAGAAAATTAGTTCAACACGATTTATGTATAAGTTAGTTTAATTATTTACAAGGTTGTGAATATTTGAATTTAATCGAAAAGCCCTAAAAGTAATGTACAAGTTACAATTCTTTTATCTAAGTAAAACTAATTAATTAAAAGTGAGAGGGGTAAGAATAGAAATGTGAAGCTGGTGCTAGAAATGGTTAGGGCCCATTTTTTGCGAAGCCCAATTCTCATTAAAGAAACCTAAAACTAAATAACAAAATTTAATAAAACAAACACTATAGAGCATATAAGTATATACACGTACTAGCTGTGGTCTTGCCTTCTCCGAATGCATTTTGGACCAACTCAAATTGGAATCAGCAGCTAATAACGTTGCGACACGTGGAAATTCATAAGAAACAAATAAATAAAAATAAATAATAATTATATTTGTAGCTCTATTGAAGCCAAAACAGAGCACCAGAAACAAAAACCATAAAAACCTATTCTCTCTCTCCACGGACTCCTCACTCTCTTTTTCCTTTTCACAAAATTCTTCTTCTTATTTTAAGAACACAGCCAAAGAGTATGCAACCTATCTAAAGTGAAACGGTGGCGATTGGGTGGTGCGGTTGAGTCCGGCGGTCTTGCGCGACTTGGATTTGACTTGACTTGAGTCCGGCAGTTGAGTGGGGCTTCGTGTGCGGCGTCGTCAGAGAACTTCGTTAAAGCTGAGCATGGCTGGAGCGATCGATCTGGAGAGGGTGAGGTACGGTGTTGTTGTTGGCTGGGTTGCGGATTCGCGGTTTGAGTTTCATCGAATCGTTGCTGTGATGCTACAAGGTCGTCGTCGATCCTGGTGATCTGGAGGAGGCCACTTGCTGCTGAAAACGTGGTGGTCGCAGGTGTTGCTCGGTTGTTGAAGAGCAGTGGCTGGGGCGGCAGAATCGAGGTGTGAAGGGAGTTCCGGAGCTGAATCGGTTACAATGCTGTCGACGGAGATATGAATTGAAACAGAAGTAAGAAGAAGAAAGAATCGGCGGAGGAAGGTGATCGCGAGATGGTTAAACATGGTCGGACGGAGCCTGGGCAGTTGCTCCACCTGGCCGGACGCTGGCTCCGCCACTGGGTACCACAATATACCTTAAATTTAACTATACGTAATCTTTTAATTCAACTTTAATGGTGAAGAACGTTGCTATATTAAAGAATGTTAACATATAGTTGAAATACATATTTGTTTGTGACAAAATGTATTTGATAGTTGCAAAGAAACGGTGATATGGTATCGATATGTATGGCACTTAGTAATTCTTTTTTACTCAATTATTCCAAGGGTAACATTGGTATTTTTTATTAAATGATAACAAGTTAACCATTATGTGCTTAATATATTTCATTTAATAGTCATGTTCTTTACCATTGTCATTTTCTTTACTCTTGCAGCATTTTTCTTTATTCTCTTTGTTTCTTTCAATTTTTTCATTGCTAATTACTTCTCTTTTTTACTTTCACGTTCTTTGATATTTTCTTTTCTACTTCTTACAAAGCGTAAATTATTTAAGAACCCAAGAGTTAATCATTATGAATTATTTAGAATGACATCTAAAGAAAAATATTTAATACATGAAAAAAAAATTCATTCACACAATAAATCACTTAAGGAATTTTTGTGGTGAAAATTTTTAAAATGAGAATTTGGTTCATAAAATCATTAAGATATCTCAATCTAAAAATTTATCTACTATAAATTTAGTTACTCTAATTAGTAAATTAAGAAACACGAGATTAAACTAAATTATTTTATTGCAAGCGAATAAGGCAATAATTAAAAAATATGATTTGTATTAAAAGCTACAAATGTCAAAAACGTGAAAGTCTGAAAATCAAAATTGTCAAAAATAAAAATAATGAAAACATAAATCTTATATTTCACAAATTCTAAGAATTTCTGATGCGCAAAAAAAACAACTTCCAAACTTTCAGAAGAAAAGTAAAGAAAAATCATCATTCATTCTAACATGCTTCTAATGCGGCAAAAAAGATTACATAAAGCCAAATTATCTGCATAACTAAATGAAATCTAAAAGATATAAAAGATCACAAAAATAATCAAAGAGAGTTCACATCACGTGGGATATAATTAGGGTTGTTCAAAAAATTAAGAACCGAACCGAATCGCTGAACTGAATTGAAGTTAAAATAACTTAATTGTTATGTTTAGTTAATAAACTAAACTATAATGTAAAAACAGTTTTAGAACCTAAGCAATACTGAAATCGAACCGAACTGAAACTAAAGTCGAACCGAACCAAAATGAAAAATGAAAAATTCTTAAAACAACTTAAATTAAAAAAAAAATTGAAAACATCTCAACGGTTCGGTTCTTTAATAAACAGTTTGATTTGGAAAAAATCATCTTCTAACGATTCGCAATTTTGAAACAGTATACCAAATTAATAATTTCGGTTCAGTTCAATTCTTAATAAATTAAAACTATTCAATTCCGTTTAAATAAATTTTTACTATGATTTTATTCGATTTGATTATGTTTTCTCACGAACGATACTATGATCCGCCTTAATGATAATGAGATGGACTCATCCGATGAATCAAAAGAGAAAAAAAAGAAAGAAGTCAACTTGCATCGCATAACAAACCACAAGAAAAAATAAGGTAAAAGACTTTGAAATTGAGTTTACCTATAGTGAGTTGTTTACTAGTTGTGAAGATTTATATAATGAATCAAGTAGGTAAAAACTCTTGATTTTCAACGATTAAATATTAAAAAAAAACCTTTTTTTTATACCAATCAATATCAAAATTTTCATTATAACGTAACTATTTCTCGAATTAAAGAGAAAAGGAGAAAGAAAAAGACGTTTTATTTTGTGTTTTTTATATTAAATTAATAATATTTAAAAAGTTGTTTATTTTGTGTGACTTTGACTTTTTTGTTGTACAGAAATAATAATAATGTTGATAATTTGAGTACCAACAAATTTTGATATTTTTATGATATTTTTGTTTTGTGGTTGTTCAGTTTGTATAATAGTGCTTCTAGAAGATGGTTCATATTTTTATAATTATCGTTGTAAAAGTTGACTGTTTTTAAATTTTAGTTAATATTATTACTTATAATATGATTGTTGAAGTTAATAATTTGTTAAGGATTGATTATAAGTTGTGATTACTTTTCTTCGAGTGATTATGTTCATCTGATATAAATCTCTTAACTCTTCCAAAAATATGTTTTAAAAAATTGTGTTTGGAGTTACTAGTTTAAAAAATGCATAATGATAAAGTAAAAGAGAATGATAAAAATGTGTAAAAAAATTATTTGATGGGTTGATTGTCTTTTAAAATTTTACATACTAATATTCATAGAAAAATAGTATTTATACTTATCAAAATGATTTAGTTGGTATTCCTTTTGATCTCATATATAAGCAATTAAAAATAAATAAAAAACTCATCTTTTAAGAAAAATATTTAAATATATTTAAATCTTACTCACTTTCTAATTTTATCTTTATTTTTTATTTTAGGAATCGTTAAAAATATAAAATAATAAAAAAGAAAAAAAATAAGGATATATTTAAAATAATGATATTAAATATAATAATTATAAATAATTTTAACTTATATTTAAGACCAATGAATTTTTTTTTATTGTTGTTTATATTCGAGACCTGTTCGACTTATTACACTATTGGTGTGTGATTTTTTCAATTATAGTGGTATATTTGTTGTCTAAGTTTAATTTAGAGTGTGTTTGGATTGATGTAGGACATAATTGAGTTTAATAGAATTGATTCTATTAGAATTGAGTTTAGCAGAATTGATTTATTTTTAAATACATTTATGTAAAAGTGAATTGAACAATAAATTTCAGTAAAAAAATCATCCATAATCAATTCTGGAGACAAAAGATATAAATTTTAGCTTCAAATTGAATCAACTTTAGAGACAAGATCAATTCTACTTTTGCCTAATTAAACATCTCGAAATCATACAGAATCAATTCTATACATTTAAAATTGCTTTTGGCTCTTCTAAAAGCCAAACTAAACATTAACTTAATCTTTTTTTTTCTTCTTCAGAATTTCATGTTTTTTCAATCCACTCATGCATTATTTTTTCTACTACATGGGCATACTTGTTGTAGCGGTAGAAATGTTCAAGACTAAGCCATTGGATTGACTAGATTTTATACAAATCAAAAATAAAAATCGCCACCGCGCTTTATTGTTTCCAAAGGAATGGGAAAAGAGCGAATAACCCAAAAAGAGGGGGAAAGATTCAAGGTAAGGGGGTTGGTTATGCAAAGGGAAGGTATTAACACCCTAAACATCTACGGTACTCCGCAAGAACCTCTTTGTAAAATCTGTATATTTTGGCTATAAAACGTGTTGTATAGAAATAGATGGTGGAGGTGAGAAAAGAAATATTTTTTATGATTTTTGCACCCGCCGCGGTTGCGAACCTTTATGCCTACGTACCACCTTTCGTGCAATAGGGGATCATGGTACACGTAGTTCCTCTTTTAAAAAGTTGAAACACAAGTGTGTTGGTTAATTTTATGAGATAAGACATCATTGTCATTGTCCGTGTGGAAAACATACTTACTACCCACAATTATGAGAAAGGAGAATTTGCATCATCTCAAAGTGGAGGATAATGGCTTGGATTTTAAAATCAACAATGTATCACTCAACACCTAAGTGGAAAATATCTCATTTCACCACATATTATAGAAGTATAGTTGTTTGCATCACTACAAGGATTGACAAGAGTCTAACCTTTTGAGAAAAGTTTAAAGATAAAAGCCAAAGTGGCAAAATGGTTTGAAATGAGATTGATTGACTTTTAGTCTTCTCACAAAAAGTGTCAAAGTATTATTAAATTGATTGAAGTTTATTGATGAAAATGTTTTGAAAATGCATGGACCTAAGTCCAAGTTTTTTATGAAAGTGTTTCAAGTTTAGAAACAAGAAGAGTTTAAAAAAGGAGGGAGAAGATTTTTGAAATTAAAGAAGATGGGAGGAGTAGAAGAGGCTATCCTAAAGCATAAGGTAAAAACTAAGGATAAGGATCATCTAACCAACAAGAAGCCAAAACTTGACATTATGAGTCAAGATAGAATTCTCATTCTTTTGATTGAAACCAAGCAAGCAAATATACTAGACCTCTTCAAATGTATTAAGTCTTCACAAAAATTGGGCTAAGTAACGGCTGTATACGGCTGAATTCCAGATTACAAACAAAGGATGTAATCACAAAAACATGCACACAAAAACAAACAAGCAACCCAATGTCTTGAGGTAAACCTCAAGAACTCCAGACAAAATAATCAGATAAGTTCACAAGGTCTCCAAGATAGGCCAAGGTTTCTAATCTTAAGTCCAAGAAATAGTCTCGTGCTCCATAATGCCAAGGATAATAACCAAATAGTCCAAGTACCATTAAGAGTTTTTTAGGGTTTATGTTGATTATTAAGTATCTTAAGAAAAGAAAAGAAAAGCTTAAGTGAGCAAAGTAAAAAAGACAAGAAAATAAATGCTCAAATGAGCAAAGATGAAAATGGCATGAAATGAAAATGCTAAAAAATAAATAGTACACAAAGCATAAAAAAAATAAAAGCATAAAATAAACAAGTCAATAATTAGTGGTTAGTTGGATAACCATCTTGAAACTTGCATTTGGAACTCATTAGAAGATTGGTAGAACCAAAGCCTCCACACAACAAGTTGCATTTCCTTTTTGTCAAGTATATCATCCATTTGGAATTCTCATAAGTAATTTAATGATCAACGATGTTTAAGTGATCCGCGTTGACCAAAGGTGTTGTAGATCCATTAGAGGATTGGTAGAACCAAAGCCTCCGTACAATGAATCTCAAGGTTATTGGATCAAAGAGATCAAATTAACATACTCGGGCTTGCAATCATAAGTTTGGGCCACGAATGATCATTTATTAGAATCAGGACAAAATTTAGCGCTGTGTTAAGCAATCGTAAGTGAACTTATATAGAAGTCGCACCTATTTTGAGTCCGGTCAATAGCAATCTATGCACCATTTGTTTTGAGACATGATATAGAGATCATGCTCCAACAACATTTAGTGCAATGGGAAGGGGGTGAGATGAAGAGGATTGGGGCAAAAGATGAATAAACCACTTTTAAATTAAAAATTTAATTAAACTATTATTAAAATCATTCATCCATTTTTGTGGAGTTAAACTCAACACCATAGATCCAATGATGTTAATAAAGTCATGATCAAAAAATCAACCCAAGACAACCAGAAAATAATCACAAAATGATAATACATTTAATATATACATTAAAATATTTAAAAATGTTTTAAAAAAAATAACGAGGAAAATATCAATTATGTTCAAATTAATCAAGAAATGAAAAATAAGA